TGCCGAGTTGTACCCGATGACGAGGCCAAAGGTACGGAGTTCGCTTCTTACCTTCCGCATCATTGCGTTATGAAGCCAGACAGCTCAACCACAAAGCTCAGAGTAGTGTTCGATGCCTCTGCGAAGAGCACTACAGAGTTGTCCTTGAACGATGTGTTATTGAAAGGCCCAACAGTCCAAGAGGCGTTGTTTGATATACTTTTGCGATTTCGCCTACCCAGGTACGCATGTACCGCAGACATATCTAAAATGTTTCGGCAGGTGATGCTGTACGAAGAACACCGAAAATACCTACGGTTTTTGTGGCGTGAATCTAGGACCAATCCTCTGCAGGAATTAGAGTTGAAAACGGTAACGTATGGGACGGCTTCGGCACCCTACTTAGCCACCAGAGCGATCGTACAGTTAGCTATAGACGAGAGAAAGGAGTTTTCGGACGCCAGTGGGGTGGTTCTAAAGTCCTTTTATATCGATGATGTACTCTCTGGCGCCGACACACTAGAGCAAGCGAAGCCGCTTCGTGATGACTTGATTGCATTACTTTCGAAAGGTGGATTTGAACTCCACAAGTGGTGAAGAATTGCTAGAAGGGATTCCAGATAAAGCCCGGGAAAGGCAGCTTAATTTCGAAGAGAGCGACATCAACGGAGTCATTAAGACTTTGGGCATACTATGGGACCCTGCTGATGATCAGTTTATGTTCTTGGTCAAGCAGATCGACCAAAGCTTGGAAAGACCGACAAAGCGCACGGTTCTGTCGGAGACGGCTCGACCCGTTAGGATTACTGGCACCGATTGTAGTGATCGCCAAAAGGGTTATGCAGTAACTTTGGCACAAGAACGTAGAGTGGGATGAACCTGTTCCCGATGATCAGCTCCGGATTTGGACAAGATTTCGATTGGAACTTGGTAGCATCAGTAGCATAAGAATAGCGCGACGAGTTACGGTAGATGATTCAACGGTAACCGAGTTGCACGGTTTTGCGGATGCGTCGAAAACTGCTTATGGCTGCTGCATCTACCTACGAAGCTTAAAGAGCGATGGAATTGCAGAGGTGCGTCTAGTATGCGGAAAGTCACGAGTGGCTCCCATCAAGGAGTTACAGCGTAAAGAATCGACGGAAGCGCAGGATACTGAGATGACAATACCGCGGCTGGAATTGTGTGCAGCTCTTTTGCTGGCGGAGCAAATGAAAAAAGTGCGCGAAACCTTAGCATTTAACACCAATAAGGTGGTGCTTTGGTCGGACTCTAAAATAGTGTTGTGCTGGTTGAAGAAAATGAAATCAGAACCTTCAGTGTTTGTTCGGAATCGAGTGACGAAGATACGCGAACTATTTTCGAGTGATTCGTGGCAGTATGTGTCGACCAAGGCAAACCCGGCCGATTTAGTTTCGCGCGGAGTTTTCTCAAAAGACTTGATCGAGAATAAACTTTGGTGGACTGGCGCTGAATTTCTCCAGACTGTAGTGAACCAGTATGATGAAGAAATAGAAACTGTTGGTGATCAAGCCATTGAACAAATAGTAACTTTGACAGTACCATTGAATGAACCGTATGAGGCTATTCTGGCATGCAGCAATTTCCGGAAGTTACAACGGATTTTCGCTTACATCAATCGATTTGTGTTTAACAGTCGAGCGAATAAACGTCAGGTCGATCGCAGAAGCGGTAGACTGACTAACGTCGAACACAACGAAGCCCTGCTGACATTAGTGATAACAGTTCAGCGAGTAGTGTACCGTGATGGAATCGATTGCATCTTGAAGGGGAAGTTAGTTAAAGGAAAGCTGAGGAACTTGAACCCAATTTACGACTGCGGAGAGAAGTTGCTGAGAGTTGGTGGTCGATTGAGACACTCAGACTTGCCAAAGGATCAAAAACACCCCATGATACTGCCAGAGAAATCCATCGAATCTATTCTCTGACAACGGGACTAACTTCCGTGGTACTGAAAAACAACTAACCGAACTAATTGAACTTCTGAAGTCCCAAATTCTCGAGAAGCGTGTGAACGATTTCTGTCAGCCACGTGGAATTTCCTGGAGTTTCGATCCTCCTAAAGCGCCACACCAGGGTGGAATTTGGGAGGCGAATGTTAAATGTATGAAGTCGCATCTTCACAAAATCCTCAACGAAAGCTACTTGTCACACGAAGAATTGAACACACTCCTAATCCAAGTGGAAGCCATACTCAACTCAAGGCCTCTTGTGCAGATGAGTGACGATCCTGTAGAATACGAAGCCCTAAGTCCTGGAGCCTTTCGCGGTACCAGCTAATACAGAAACGGAAGCAGTGTTCCGACGGACATGGGGTTTTTTCGCCTATTCGCGCAAATATTTGCCAAATAGGCTTTTCCCCATCAATCTTCATTTAGACAACAAAAGTCCGATGAAGAGAATAATAAATAAATAAATAAATAAAATCTCGAAAACCGTTTTTGAAGAGTGATTCTAGGGCATCAGAACTGCTGGAGCTGGTACATTCTGATCTCTGAGGACCAGTAGAGATTTCTTCCTTGGGTGGTAGTAGACATTTTGTCACATTTCTAGATGTTGCAGTTCACTTCTTGAAGGCCAAAAGCGAAGCACTGGATGCATTCAAATTGTTCCGAGCAAAGGCAGAACGTCAGACAGGTAAAAAACTCAACATACTCAGGACAGCCAACGGACGAGAGTATGTTTGCGACGAATTTCGGAAAGTGATGGAGAAGGATGGCATTTGCCATCAGAAGACCTGCCCGTACACTCCAGAGCAGAAAAGGCACGAATGCAGAAAGAATTCTGGGCAGAAGCGATATCAACGGCGGCATACTTGGTGAACCGATCACTACATCACTAGACGCCTGAAGAAATCTGGACCGGAAAGAGATCTGATTTGCGGCACCTGAGAGTTTTCGGTACAAGCGTGATGGTCCATATTCCGGAAGGTCAAGCGTAAGAAATTCGATCCGAAAGGCTATTGCGAGGACACGAAAGGATACCGCGTAGCGATCAACGAATATGCACAATATGTCAGCACAGGATGTGTTCAAGATGTTCAAGCAGTTGAATTCATAGAGTTATTCACGGAAGAGTTCGTAGTACCTATTGAACGCCCTGACGAAAACACAACCAATAATGACGAAGAAGAAGAAGAAGTGGCAGGAATTAGTACGTTAGACACGTCTGGTGATGCTTTTGAAGATGCCTGCAGGGACCACGCGCTCCCATCGCCACAAACAAGACCAGTTGAAGAAATTCAACATGGGTTGAGGCGCAGCAGCGGTCGGTTGTGATCTCTTCTCAACCATCTGCTTCATCGACGATTGTTATGCTTGTGGAGGACGTTCCACAGAGCTACGACGAGCTGGATCGAGGCAATGAAGGAAGAGATGGCGTCATTGAGTAAAAACCAGACGTGGACGATGACGAATCTACCAAATGGAAGCCTGGAGCGATATAAGGTGCGGCTCGTCGTTAAGGGCTGTTCACAAAAACCTGGAGTTGACTACGAAGAAATCTATTCTCCTATGGTACGGTACCCGAGCAAAGTCGGTTAACAAAATGAAAGCAAATCGATATTAAAGTTTGCAGTTCCTATCATAATGAAAACTCATTTTGATTTCAATTGTCGCGACAGAAGTCTGATATCATATTGTGCTTTCATTATGCAGTCAAGACTTTTTAAATCAAAGCTTGAAGTTCTTCTGTTAATTTCTTGTTTAAAATTTAGGTCATTTTAGGTCATTCGTGACTAGCCCGAGGTGACATTTGAGCTCAAATCTTTCAGCGTGAGAAGCATGGATGCTAACCATTTACGACAGGCCCGTATTCAGTCAAACATTATGAATGCAAAATCAGTAATCGAATTGATTTCATTGAAAGCAGAATTAGTTTTCCGTTTGATTCAACAGTGTAAAATTTTGCTCTCATTTTCATTCTCATTTCAACCAAAATGAGATCAAATGGAGTATTCAAAATAAGTTACATCATAACAGCAAATTCTGATTTCAATTTGATCTCTATCTTTGCTCGGGTATTCGACCATTCGGTATCTGATGGCGGTGGCGACGAAATTTGACTTGGATGTGGATCAAATGGACGTGGTTACCGCATTTCTACAAGGCGAGCTTCGCTATTTCAAACGGCAAGGCTTGCAAGTTGCAGAAGGCACTATACGGCTTGAAGCAATCGAGCCGGGTGTGGAATGCAAAGTAGACACCTGCCTATACTGGATCCTGGACGGAGATAAGATGCTTTTCGTGACAATATATGATGACGACCTGCTTATTTTCGCAAACGACTGCCGATTAAAGAAGAAGCTGAAAGAGTTCTTAATGCGGAGGTTCAAGATGAAGGACTTGGATCTGGCCACACATTGTCTAGGCATCCGAATCAAGCGAGACCGACGCGGTGGCAAGTTTTCGTTGGATCAGCAGGCGTACATTGAGAAAATCGTTCGACGCTTTGGAATGGCAAAGGCGAACCCGGCAGCTACTCCAGCGGATTCGAGGTTTTAGACTGGACCTAAGACTGAAGATGAGAAACGGGCCATACAGGGAAGTGGTAAGATGTTTATCGTTCGTGGCACAGACGACTCGACCCGATATTGCGTTTGCGGTAAATGTAGTAAGTCAGTTCGGAGACAGTGCCATTGAAAGTAATTTCTTTGGTTTTCTTCGGAAGTTGGCATTGAAAGCTCTCAATTAATAACTGGCAAAACGCTCGCTTGGTTAACAAAATCACCTTCATATGGTTATCTTCAGGGCGATAAATGAAGTCTTAGATTGTTAACTTTTTAGAAAACCGATGCAGCTTCACGCTTCAGCGATCTAGGACTTACTTTACTGCCCCCTGACGACAATAAGAAGTGTCGAAGCCGTGATTTCCCCTACCTATTTAAATAACAGTACTGACTCGCTGCAAAAAAAAACCCCAATACACGAACAAACATGGAGCAAAAAAAAAATTACATATCTTGAGTGACCACCGCCAAGCAAGCAACAAACTGAACTTACCCGCTTCCCGTTTGGGTTGCTTCCGTTTGCCGCCCCAGTCATAATCTCCTTCGTCCTCTTCCCGCTCCTCCTTCTTGGGAACCTTCCTCTGACGCTGCGGCAGTGGAGGCGCCTGTCGGCCCGGGCTCCGACTTCGACTGTTGGAATGCGATCCCCGTTCCACCTTCACCGGCGGCGGCGAACTGACACGTTTGCCGCCACGGCCACGACCGGCACCACCAGCACCACCACCACCATTTCGATCACGGGATCTCGAACGCGATGCAGATCCCCTCGGAGAGGGCGGAGGCGATCTTCGGCCCCAGCCACCCGGTGCCGGCGGTTTACGATGGTCTCCGCTCATCTCTCGATCCGAGTGAAAACCACCGCCTTCCGCGTGGGAAAACCCCCGACGACCACCACGACCGCCGCGACCACCACGATCATATGGACCACCACCACGACCGCCGCGACCGAAACGACCGCGCTCCGGAGGGCCATCGAAACGATCCCGATACCCACCGCCACCACCGCGACCAAAGTCGCCTCGACCACCGAAATCTGGATGCTGCATGGGACTGCGATCGCGTCCACCCCGAGGCGGAGGACCTCCTCCCATCGGAGACGAATTCCGACGACGCGGACCGCGATCTTCGAATTCGTCCCTTCGCTGAAAGCGATCCCGCGGATTTCGATCCCGACTGAAAAGAATTTCAAAGTTTTACTCCGTCAAAAATATCCACAACAACCATCCATCCTTACCTTCCGTAATCGTCATACCGTTCCCGTGGTTGGGACTGCGGAGTGTACTGATGTGAACCCCGTCGTCCGCCCTCGAACCGGCGTTCTTCCCCCTCAAACCTCCTCCTCGGGGAGGGCTTTCTAAATTCTTCCCCGCCGCGGCCACGGTCGTCTTCGAACCGATCGCCGCCACCCCAACGTCTTTCCTGCTGATGCGGTGGGGGTGGTGGCGGAGGCGAATGATGACGATCTTCGTAACGACCTCCGCCTCGTCCTCCACGTCCTCCTACACCCCTACCGCCCCGATCGAACTCCCCACGGCCGTGCGAAGCCGGAGGTGGCGGAGGGGGAGATTCCCTTGGCGGAGGTGAACGCGGTGCTTTACGATAATCATCGTAGTTTCCGCGCTGCTGATGACCAGATCTACTATAGCTTCCACCCGACGGTTCCCGAGGGGAATGTGACCGCTTTCGTCGGTACTCTCCGCCATCGGCCGGGCTGTCCCATTTGGAGGAGGGATGCTTCTGTTGATTGCTCCCACCAGAACGATCTCGGCCTCGATTTCGATCTCTCTCCACAGGAGATCGTTCCCGTTCCTCCCGAACCGCTCCTCTTCGTCCATATGTCTCCCGATCTTTCCTGTAGTCATCTAACGAAGCAGTCCGGTGTCTTCTGTCCGGGACGACCTCCTCAATCACTTCTTCTTCCTCTTCTTCCACATGTACTCGCTTTTCGTCTTCCGATTCGGCACGTACCTTGTGTTTCTTGTGCTTCTTAGATTTCTTCTGTTTTTTGTTCTTTTTGTGTTTCTTCTTGGAAGCTGCTGCGACGGCCGCCGCCTTAGCTACTGCATCATCACTCGACTGCTCACTGGCCGAATCGGCTTCCGTGCCGGAGCTGGCATGTGTCTTCGTCGAAGCCTTCTTGTGTTTCCGGCCGCTGCTGCTGCTCTTCTTCTTTTTGCTCCTCCTCTTCACGTCCACATCCTCGGAGCTGGTACTGTCGCTCGAGTCGGACGCATCCGACGAGCTGGAACTGCTACTGCTTTCGTACTTCTTTTTCGACTTACCCATCCTTCTTCTCCTTCTGTAGAACGAAAAAGAAAACGCAGAAACAAAAAGCTAGGTTAGCACACAAGCCAAATTTTCAAAGTGGATTTTCAGCTGGAAAAACACTCACTTGCGTGCGGATTTCTAACTCCGGGAAACAAATGCGATCCGATGCAAGCTGTGCACCCGAGTTCGACGCTTTGGATGACAATTTTCACAGGGGAAATTCGCTTTTTCTTCGAACTGTTTGCCGATACGATACGCCTTGGCGTAGAATTTTTTGGCTTTTTCTTTCGTGACGGGGGTAGACGGTTCACTTTCCATGCGGTCCTTCTCTGTGCGGGTTGTCAAAAACCAGACAGGGCTGTCAAATTTTTGAAGATAAAACTAGGGATGTGCAGTTTGTTGTTATTCTATTGATGAAACATTTCAGTCTCGATTTCAGTTTCAGTATAGATCCTCGTATAGATCGATCTTTTGATTTTTTTTTAATACGCTTATACACACAAAAAATAATCGCTAATAAAATTTAAAAAACCATTCGTCGAATTAAAAGTTTGCATTGGTTCTTTTTGGTAGAAAGCGCTTGGCTTTCAAAATGAAAGTAATCCAACTGTCAATTCAAAAGTTTCCTGCTACTTTCTTTTAAAAGTTTAAGCTATTAAAAATAATTGTAGTACTGTCAAATAAAAAGTTTGGTAGTGCAGAAATTAAAAGTGGATTACGTTTAATTCAAAACATAGGTTTTACGAGAAAATTCTGCATAGTTAAAATAACATGTGCCATTTTAAGCTGAAAAAAAATATTTTCAATTTAAAACCATGCATTTTCAACATAATAACTAATTTTTTTTAATATAAATTAAAATAAATATTACATTTAAAGTTTTTATAATTTGATTGAAAGGTCACACATATATTTCTTTTGTTTCCAAAATATATAATAAATTATAATTATTAGTCGTTTTCGAGGCTAATAGCGATGATGTTGACATCGTGGCTGTCTTCCTTCTCGATCTTTACCTTGGGGATCGAACGATCAATTTTGGACGGGGGTCCATCGGTTCGAACGTGGACCAGGTACTGGCAGCCTGGTGGATTCCAACGGCAATGCACGTTGTATTCGCTGGTACAGAAATCGTTCATACCAGCTTTGGGAAGGGTTCACCATTCAGTTTCTCGTTCACCGTTGCTCCTCTGAATCGGGGTCTTCCATCAATGTCCGGAGGTAGTATTTTATGGTCAAAAGCGATTACAACATGATGGTTCCGTGTTCTGGTGCGAACAGATTATTCGGTAGCTCTCCTCTTCGAACAGGGAAAGCAACATCCTAGGCAATCGAATTACGGTGCGAATCAGTCATTATCTTCAATCTCTGCTGTGGATTTTGCCTACATAAAACCGGAAACGAAAAGGTTACAAGCCACCTAATTTTCATTAATTAAATTAACATTAACTTACAGTCCCACTTGCATCTTGCTTAAATCCATCTCAGGGTTTGCCTTTTTGTCATAGCCGACAACTTCATTGGACTGTCTTTGCCCCACGTATGTTCGGATCAGGCTCAGGATCAGTTAAATGCGGCTTTGCTTCTCGCTCAGACCCATGGCAATAATTGATAGCTTCTTGATTGAGTGGAAGAGGAGCTGTTATGGAGAAAAAGACGATATGTATGTACTTTGCATTCATATGGGGAAAATTTACTCCCTTAAATTTCTAACCAATCACCTGAATATAATCATATATATAGGTCAACACCGAGACCGGGTTAAGAGAATCATTTACTGGAAGCTATTTATAAGTATTTATGAAACGTAGGTTCCACCCACGCCAGAGAACGAAATCTTCATGAAACGTCACCATTTCTCTCCGTTTTTCATCATTATCCTAGTCATTGTCCTCAATAAAAAAGGGTCGCACAATCAGAATAACATTACCAATCGATGCTCACGTTTTCGCACTTGATCCATCCGGATCCACTACTTTTCCGGCGGAATTGAACAAACTGATCCCTCATTTTGAAACGCACTATTAAAAATGTAAAAAAGGCGGTAAATGAAGGTTCAGTGCTGCCATAGACCTTTTTGACGTTTAATCGTCTTTCTCTATCTAGCACACATGGATGAATGCACGGTATGTTTTCCCACTAATCTATTTTCCTCTTGCTCGCACTCGTTCGATTTAAACGGTGCAGTAGTGTGCGCCGATTAAACGTCAAAAAGCTCTATGAAAAATGTCGGTATTTTTGACAGTTGAATAACTTTTCATTTAAAAAAATGCACTTTTAAAATTACACGTCAAAATTGAAAGAAGCACTTTCAAATCAAAAACATAAATTTCGATTTATATATTTTCATAGTTGAAACCACAAACGAAGTTTGTGGTTGAAACTGCGAGTTTTGAGAAACTTTCAATTTGAAAATACAATATTTTTATTTGAACAATTTTTGTTCTTTGTGTGTACCACAAACGAAGTGACAGACGACTAACTGGCGAAGAAATCCATTTAAATAATGTGGTTCACTGTAATAGAATTTTCTTGGAAGCTTGTGCCATCATCCACCAGATGGGTTAGTTTTTTTGTTTTGATTTGAACAAAGTTGATTTTGTGTACAATGATTCTTTGACAGTGTGCAAAGAGTGCGCATCATTTTGTCATTTTTTTATGCATTTCAGTTCTGAGTAGAGTGAAAGAGATAGAACCAAAACATTCTTGTACATTTGGTGAAAATGCTAGTTCAATCTAGTAGTAGTGTTGCCATGTGGTACAATCCAGTAGTACACAGCAAAAAAAAATGTAATATCGATCAACGTAATTCAAGCTGATGTATGAAATAATGATGTAATAGCAAAACGCAGATACAATATTACATCAATGGATGTAATTTTGTTCGCAAAATCGATGTACATCGTACAATGTGATATTACACAACCGATGGATTGACCTGGTTGCAGCAGTTTCGATGTAATATTCAACAACTTTTTTTGCTGTGTAGTGGTGTTGCCATGTGGTACACTGAAAAATTGAAATAGCAGGTTAGTCACCAAAGTTTTCGAGCCGCTCCGTCTGTCACTTCGTTTGTGCTTATACCAACAATCAATACGAAACTAACGATTTTAAATTGGCTCACCACTTTAGTAGCCTATTGGTCCCAAGCAAACGAATAACGTACCCTATTCTAGTTGAAATTCTATTACTACACTATGTTTGTTTTGATTCGCTATGAAAGTTTGACAGATAACATCAGGGGTGTGTGGATTCATGCAGAACATGCAGGGGTGAGTGAAATAGCTTGGGACTGCTTGGGACCGTTGTTCTGGTACTGAGTGAGCCAAAAATAATAATGATTTTCTTCGGGACCCTGTGCCCGAATAGAAATTGTAATGTAGGAAACACCAGCAGACATCTTCAATACATTAAATTTTAACGTGTATTGCTGTAACCTTAATGTATTCAGACTTCAGTGTGACGTCCAAGTACATAAAAATACATTAGCCTCAAACGTTACATCAGAATCAAACGTCTTGACGATGTAAAATTTGACATCAGAATACATCCAATGACAACAGAACCTAACGTTACATTAGAATCAAACATCATCACGATGTAATTTGTTGCACGCATAAAACATCAGAATACATCCAATGACAACAGAACCAAACGTTACATTAGAATCAAAGTTCATCACGATGTAAATTGTTGTCCCTCGGTCTCTCGCCGCATGCAAAGTTTGTTTTGTCCTGAGTCAGCACTACACGGCGGGAAACGGGAGCTTCAGCATTGACTGTTATGTACGCATTTTTATGATGTAATCTAACAACAAGCGTGTGTAGTGTTTACACGATCATGTTTCTAATTCTAATGTGTTGTAAATATAATTGAAAGCATTTGAAAAGTAAGATTCTAGTGTTTTGTATATCTACAAACATTAGTAAACATCTACATTTGAAAACATTCAAACAACGTTTACTTTAAACGTTTTGTACATCTGAAAACATCAGAGAACAACAAACACGAAGAACAAATGAAAACATCCGAACAACGTTTAGTTCTAACGTTGTGTACATCCGAAAACATCCAAAAAGGTTTGGTTCCAGCATCGGGAGTAATCTACGTTAGAAAACATCAGAATACATTTACATATAAAAACATCCGAACAACGTTTAGTTCTAACGTTTTTTACATCCGAAAACAATCAAAAAACGTTTGATTCTAACATCAGGAAACCTCTACATTAGAAAACATCAGAAAACGTTTACATATAAAAACATCCGAAAAACGTTTAGTTCTAACGTTTTTTACATCTGAAAACATCCAAAAACGTTTGTTTCTAACATCAGGAAACATCTACATTAGAAAACATCAGAAAACGTTTACATTTAAAAACATCCGAACAACGTTTAGTTCTAACGTTTTGTACATCTGAAAACATCCTTAAAACGTTTGGTTCTAATGTCAATAGATTGAAATTTTTGACGTCAGACCGACATTAGAATGGCAAAATTTTGTTCCAAAATTTCTGATGTATACACCATGTTACGTTGCTTAAATACAACTAAATCATAATGTTTCCTAATGTTTGACATCAGGCATACATTTGATTTTGATGCTGATGTAGACATAAAAATCAAACGTTGGGCTAATGTAAATTTCTATTCGGGTGGTCTTAGAGTTACCTCTATGGTAGTACCATAGAGGTAACTCTAAGACTAGAAGGTCCCGAAATAACGTGCTCAACTTTTTGGCTCAGCTCTGGTACTCTCTTCGGTCCCAAGCTAATCGATTCACCCCTCGAAACATAGGAAAAACCAATAACCCCTCATTTTATCTGTCAAACTTTCATAGCAAATCAAAACAAACATTGCGTAGTACTAGAATTTCGACTATAATGGGATACGTTAATCGTTTGCTTGGGACCAATAGGCTAGTCAAGTAGCGAGCCAATTTAAAATCGTTAGTTTCGTATTGATTGTTGGTAGTACGCTGAACAGATGGCGGTAGTGTGTAAACGTCAAACGCAAGTGAATTAACTATGCGCGCCACAGGTGGCGGTACTACCAACTACGATACTTTTGAATTGACCGTTAAATGCTTGTTCGATGATCAACTTGCGAGTGTTATGTCTGTTTGTCTGTGTTATAACCATAGAGGTAACTCTAAGACCACTGGGTCCCGAAGAAAATCATTATTATTTTTGGCTCACTCAGTACCAGAACAACGGTCCCAAGCAGTCCCAAGCTATTTCACTCACCCCTGCATGTTCTGTATGAATCCACACACCCCTGATGTTATCTGTCAAACTTTCATAGCGAATCAAAACAAACATAGTGTAGTAATAGAATTTCAACTAGAATAGGGTACGTTAATCGTTTGCTTGGGACCAATAGGCTACTAAAGTGGTGAGCCAATTTAAAATCGTTAGTTTCGTATTGATTGTTGTTATAACTCTGTAGTCTGAACCGAGGTCTGAACAAGGCATGAACTAAAACCATAGAGGTAACTCTAAGACCAGAAGGTCCCGCAGAAGCGTGCTCATCTTTTTGGCTCAGCTCTGGTACTATCTTCGGTCCCAAGCTAAACGATTCACCCCTCGAAACATAGGAAAAACCAATAACCCCTCATTTTATCTGTCAAACTTTCATAGCAAATCAAAACAAACATTGAGTAGTACTAGAATTTCGACTAGAATGGGGTACGTTAATCGTTTACTTGGGACCAATAGGCTAGTCAAGTAGTGAGCCAATTTTAAATCGTTAGTTTCGTATTGATTGTTGCTATAACGGTAGCTTAGAGTGTACACGAAGAATGAGAACAACCCAAATTTGAGTTTAGTTATCTCATAAATCACAAAGTGCAGGTACACGGCGAATGAGAACTACTGAAATTTGAGTTTAGTTCACTCATAATCGATAAAAGTGCAGGAACTCAGCGATGAGTTAATTTGCCTCATGTTTTCCTAGGTTTTTCCAGGATTTTCCAGGGAAAAATTTCCGAATTTGAGAAAAGTAAAGATTGGATTCACTCAGTCTATTGGTACTACTCCGAGACTGAATAAAATTTTCGTCAATTTCCTCATTTTCCGGCAGATTTTTTAGGTTTTCCACAGGAAACCATGAGACAAATTTACTCATCGCTGAGTTCCTGCACTTTTGGCGATTATGAGTGAACTAAACTCAAATTTGAGTCGTTCTCATTCGCCGTGTAGTCAGCGATGAATAAATTTGCCGCATGTTTTCCCAGGTTTTTCCAGGAAAAAATTCCGAATATGAGAAAAGTAAAGATTCGATTCACTCAGTCTTTTGGTTATTACTGCTAGACTGAATAAAATGTTCGTCAATTCCCTCATTTTCGGGCAGATTTTTGAGATTTTCCGCAGTTTTTAAATAGCGTGCATACCTCTGAGCTGAGTAAAAATAACTCTCCCTTTGAGTTATTCTCATTGGCAATGTGTTCTCAAGTGGAGGCAACGGAGGCAACACCAACAATTGAAATAGGCGGAACAACCAAACGTAAACAATGGCTTTAAACACAAAATTCTCGACAATCAAAACACTCCCACACAAAATAACAATGCCATTCGATAAAGGAAGTTACATTAATAATAGTATTGCAAAATTAATTGTTTTTAAACAGTTAAAATAATAATCTGTCGAACTTCAACTTCGATTTTCTCAAAATGGTGGATATGTTACATTGGTCTATTTGAAAAGTGACGCGAGTAGGGACGTCACTAATTGCATGTATCGTATATATACAGGGGTTTTACTCACACAACTTAACCGACTGCTTCACCTCGGTAATCAAGTCATTGGAGTGAGTGATGTCCATGTCAGAGAAGTAGGATTGGGCGATCTTCAGAGAAGGATCGATCTTGACGGATCGATCTTATATTTGGCTCTAGGATCGATCCACTGATTAAATCAGTACCAAAGGATCGATCTTTTGATTTTTATTTTAATACGCTTGTGTACGGTGGTACCTCAAGAAATTGTTTCCTTAATAATATTCAATTAAATGTTGTCGTGAAGGAGCAATGAGCACAGGGCGGAGGTAGCGCAAACCTTCAGATGTTACCTATTTTTCTGAAGATCGAAAAAAAGAGATCGATTTTTTCGATCCCTTCGCGGGCAAAGAATCGATCCGAAAAATCGGAAATCGGGATGAAAAAGATCGATCTTCCAAAGATCGATCCAAGATCGCCCAATCCTACAGAGAAGTTTTGCACATTATTGAAAATAGCGAAAATTGCTGCTGCCGGAACAGTAACTTGTTGGAAGTAACTATTTTTGCAAAATGTCGTGCGAAGTGACTGTCCATGATCTTCCAGATGAGGTAAGTAATGGAATTCGTTCGATTAAATCACGTGAACCGTGTGTTTAAGCGCAATCCGAATAATTCCCAGATGCTGGAAAAAATCCTGCTCTATCTGAGAGCTGAAGATCGCAAATCGGCACTGCGCGTCTGCAAACGCTGGTCTGCGCTGAAGCCGTTCGACTTGGCATCGGTCGAGCTGATAATTGACTCTGATCGATTCTACGAGAAGGATTACCATGAGTATCATCGAGCCTTGCTTGCCAGCAGTCGGCGGTACAAGCACGTGGTGGTTTACATCAGTAGCTATTTTAACAAGTACGACCTGTTATTGGAGGTCCTGAGTTCTTTCTGCCTGAGTGTGGAATCACTGAAGCTCAATTTCGAACCGCTTTTGAAAGGCGTTTTTAATAACGACAATCATTGGTGGAAGGTTAAATTGATGCATTTTGCTAAAATCGCAGAGCTGTCATCCAAGCTGAAGCACCTTCAAATAGATGAAGGCATTTTTGAATCCGAGCAGGGCGACTTGAAATTCTCCCCGATGAATAACCTAGAGGAACTATACCTAAAGAACAACTTGCTGACTTTGATTCCGAACATGCGGGATATTACGCCGAACATCACCAGATTACACGTGCTGATCAAATCGGAAGAATCGCTAAATTTCCTACAACATGTTAGCTCACAATTGGTGGAACTCGAAATTTGGTTTCTGCTGAAGGATGACTTCCTGTTGGTTTGCACGATGGAGTTTCCGAGGCTGGAGAAGCTCACCATTTCCTGCATTGAAGAGGAGTTTGACGCTGTCCAACAATTTTGTAGACTGAACAACGGAAGCTTCTTATTTGATCATGTCGGCAATCTGTGCCTATTGCAATCGTTCGAAAACATACAGTTTCTTTGCCTTGGCTGTGCCGAGGAATTATCTCTTGATGCAAACGACTTTCGGGCAATTTGTAAGCTGAAACATTTGAAGGTTTGTTAAGAATAAGTAGTTGTTTAAGAAAGATATAAGATTAATCGGGCAAATTTCAGCGCTTGCGGATCGAGAACGCTATCGTTAGTGTTCCAACTGTTTTTAATTTCCCACCGCTCAAGAATCTCCACATGCTGTCATTGGACGGAGTGAGGATCACCGATTATTTCGAGTTTAATCGCTTTCGTCAGTATATCTTCCCTAGCCTAGCCGTCTTTGAGATGTTGGAGCTGTATGACTTTGACGTTGAAGATCGTTTCGAACTGTACGACAACATATGCAGTACCATGCCTTTTATGAAGCGACTAGCGATTAGCCAATACAAAAGCAACCTAGTGCTAGGTCCGTTTCTTGAATTTTGCGCCTCTCCAGGATCCCGGGAGCTAAGGATCAGATGTAGGGACGTGTTGGGTATTTATCCGCTGAAGGATCTCCCGCATATTCCGGTGGAAACATTGATCATGGAGGTGTCGACCATTTCGCTGAGGTCGCTGCGAAAATTGATCAAGGCCATGGGCGAGTTGAAACGGTTGGAGCTGGCTTTTTGCCCATTAACGGGTACCATGCAACCAGAGGAGATCCGAAGCCTGCGAGTCGCTTTCCCGCGATGCGAGGTGATCGTAAAACAAAGGGTCCAAATCGTGGAGCCACTGTGAGTGAGGTTATAGGTCCATCCACCGCAATTTCTCGGCTGTCTTCTAACTAATTGAGCTGATTTCCTGTAGGTGACAAGATTATGGTTGACTCTATAATCACATACAAAAAATAATAGCTCAATTGGAAGGAGGACAGTTGAGAAATTGCAGTTTGTGGACGACACCTAACCTGAATGCTCTCCGAGATTTAGAGAGAGATAGTTTTAGAATCGATTCTCAGGCATTTGATTCTAAAAGTGTTTTTTTCTTTGGTTTTATTTTCTCACTGTGTTGGAAGTGTTTTCTTTTGATTTTCAGGACAATAAAATAGATAAGATTTGGTTCGCGTTCATAGTTTTCGACTGCATTTGCCGGATTAGCGCTGGCGCTCTGCCTCCCGGACGTTTATACGTGTGTCATTGGTAGTTTTCTCGCTTTCCGGCAGAGTGGCCAGACCTACCGATTTATCCGTAGTCCTACCGATTTTCAGGGTGCCTACCGATTCACAGACGAAAGGTTCAAAACTACCGATTTTTCACTTTTCCTACCGAGAATCACAGATTTTTATAGTTGAAGATACTAATTTCAAATAACAGACTGAAGTGGTAATTTTTATACGATAGATGGAGTAGATGAAAGCATAGAGTTGATAGTTCCGTTAGAGTACGGCAGTGTGAAGATTGCATATAGATATTAGAATAGCGAGCTAGAACAACTTTTAAGGAAGGTACAAATCGGTTTTTTCATCTCTCTTTACCAAACTCCCCCTTTGGAGAGGGGTGGTGAGGGGTGTTCCCCCCCGCCACCACTGGCAAAAAGAGATGAAAACCGACCCGCTCAAGTACCAATTGTGTGTTTGAAACAGTTCTACCGATTTTTTGTATTGTTCTGGAGCACAGAGTCGTCCACCCCCCCCCCCCCCCGCTCACAAAAGTTTCGTACGGGAAAGCCTTCTTAAGTCGACCTACCGATAACTACCGATAAAAGTTTTGAGAAGCTACCGAAAATGAAAAAAATAATCTGGCCACTCTGCTTTCCGGGAAGTTTTAGAATATAGAAAGAAAACGTGATTCAACATGTTAGCAAGCATCAGAAGAGATGTCGTAATCTGCGTTATTTGATTTTTTCCCGGACCAGAAATTCGTGGCATCGCGAGTGATAATTTTTAATTTCAGTTTATTTACGCGCTGCAAGGTGCGTGAAAGAGTTCAGCACAATCGGTGTTGATGTTGGCTCGATTGCAACTTTTATATCGAAAGTGTACCAAAAGTGCTTCTGAACGTGTTTCGCAGTTGGGAGTGGTGAAATTCGTAAATTCGCGGTTTATGTTCAGTGAAAATTCCGTTCAGTGAAAAATCACAAAATTGCTCACCAAGTTCCCTTTTTTTGCCGTTCGACGACGACGGGCATGCGAGACAAAAATAAGCATCGTGAATGTACTCCCGGATGTATTGATTTGGTGAGTACGTTCCAGTTGAAGATTGTTCTTATACATATCTCGATTGCATTTTCGAGGGGACGTCCAAAGAGCTTTGAGATTTAGGCGTTGTTGCTTTTGCGGGCAGACGAGTTGGTCGCCGGTAAGGGTCAGTAAGTGCTGCCAGCAGATGAATCAAGAGGTATTCGAAACAAAATTGGTAAGAAATGTCCATTCAAATCGATTTATTACAGTGGAACAAATTTGAAAACTATATACGTGCCAGATTTGGAAATAATATTTTTTGAATCTGGAAGTGTGTTTATGATACCATTATCCATTTGATAAAGGTAAAGTGAACATGTGGGGCTTATTGTAAGTAAAAGTGACCTCGGAGTGGTCGTGAATTACCAGGCATTCTGAAATGGGTCACTGGAGCTGCAATAGAGCTAACACCTTCTAACTCCCGGACTTAACCTGCTTTAATTTAAGGGTAATAAAAAGCAGTTTTCTTCCATAATAACACTGCCGGACAGTGGGGGTTAGATTGTACACACACAAACACACACACACACAATAAAATAGATAAGATTTTATACCCCTAAAGGATGTATTTGTATTGAATTTATCTACCTTTGTTGAGATTTGCAATTCCAACAACATTGCCCAAGTCCGCATTAGGGTGCTTCATTTTGAAAAAAAAGATGAATTTTTGATAGTCCACCCTCCAGAGTGTGGGAAAAGGACTGATTTTTAAATTCTTCCATAGTAATTTCCATACAAATTTCAAATCATTGGCGCGACCTCTAAAACGTTCATCAATCTTTACCATTGTTTGCACAGGCTCATATTGTGGGAGTATGAATCGAAATCCTGGCAATAAGGTTTTACATATAAGCTCCTGCCAAAGGTTGGAAAGAGCTTTAGATCCTCACATTAAAACCCACAAAAGGACGCCAACACACATGACTCTTGGTAGTACAATGGTCGCCATCGAGGGCACTGGAATCACCACATCGGGTTGAGGTCGGTATCGGTCATCTATTCGTCTGGTTTCTACAATGTTCCGGTACACTTTGGCTGACATCTTTGCATATCGAGTCCGATTGGGACTTTTGAAATCCACGTGGTACAATCCGAATTTCAAGCTGGAATCAAGACAGAACATTTTAAAACCCGCATTCTGTAAACATCACTTCGTAAAGCCTTACGTATAACCGAACGACCATTCAAAGTTGTCCATCAAGCTCCACGCCAGGTATCCACGGATGTTGCAACCATCTTGAATGGCATCGAAAACTGCACCGAGGTAACCATTCATGTAGTCCACCCGTTGATCATCCACTGTGCCCGGTAGGGTAGCGACCCCGTTTTCCGTAATCCACACCGGTGGATTACCATACTCCACTCGAATCCAGTTGAGCAGTTTCCGCATACCGAATGGAACGATGTTTATCCACGATGCTTCCGTGGCTGTCCAGCTGGGATCAACAGTCCTGACGATCCCCGAATCATGATCATGGGAGGGCACAACATAGTTTGCTGAGTTGCTCCAGCCGTTCTTCCTCACCAACGATGAAGTGTAGGTGTTCAAGCCGATAAAGTCTGCGGTTCCCTTGATCCGTCGCACTTCTTCCTGCGTAAACATCGGAAGTCTTGACTTCGGAAACCCTTGCTCTGCGCTCAAATTACCCACGCGATCCTTAACAACTTGCGGGTAGTCTCCAGAGAAGATTGGATGAGCGATCCATCCGATTTCGAACTGCAGGCCCCACTCGGAGGCTTCCCAATCATCCAGGGAGCTGAAGGTTTCCGGTTCCAGCCACATTCCTCCCACGGAAATACCGATGCTACCATTCTGTTGGCGTTGGTAGCGTGATCGATACAAATGAACGGCTTCCGCGTGAGCTTTCAGTAGGTTATGTGCGCAGTGATACTCGGTGATTCCTGGATGGAATGGATCTGTGATCACCTTGTCGCCGCTCATACAGTAGTGGCCAGGTTCGTTGATGGTTGTCCCGAGGGGCACGCAATAACCTTTAACTCCTACGCAAGCCTTTTTTAAGTACAATAATTACAGTTAACTACATGATTAATTACTTTAATTACGAGCTTCGGAAATGTTTTGATTTAATTACTTTTAAGTACGAATTTCAGTTTTAATTACAAGTCGCATAAATTAAGTACATTAACTCCATTAATGTACAACGAGAAATGTACTTAAATTTCCCCCAGCGGTACGTTAGACCCTTTCGTTATTGGCCCGTGAAACAAAAATTTCACAGGCCCTTTTGCTACGTTAAGAATAATGTCAGCTCTGATAAATTGTATCGCTACCGCTGTTATGACTTCAGAATAGACCCTATAAACATACATCTCCTGGGACCTACGAGGAAATCTACGTTGGTGATTGGTGCCAATTCACATGCAACGATCGGTTCGTGATTGGAAATGTAGTCGGATTTCAATACTGCCGAGGTGTTAGCAGGGCAATGAACTATATCCTGGATCACGCCCCTGTCAAAGCACCGGAGATTGCGACAATGAAAGGAATGTTTGTTTGTGCTACCTGGTTCAACCTAAGAAATAACTAATTTAATTTGGTGGACGCGAACGAAAACAGAATTACAGTTATATCGGTTCCCGTTGGGGTCACTTTTAGTCGGCATTCGGCTTTATTGTTCTGTAATAAGTATACACACGATGAACATCATGTTTTTTTCTCTCAAACGATGTAATTGGACCAGTGGCAGCTATTTCGATGGTTCACAATCATATTGGGCATCCCGGAAATGTTCCGGTGCCCCGGGGAAGTGGCCAATTCTCAACAAGAACCAAAACCCATCATGCGACATATCAAACTTCATGATTTTACAAATCTTGGCCAGTAATGGCCTTATTGAAAGTCCATGGTCCCACTAGCCCTTCCGGGAATGTTCCGGTGCCCCTGGGGAAGTGGCCAATTCTCAACAAGAACGAAACCCATCGTGCGACATATCAAACTTCATGATTTTACAAATCTTGGCCAGTAATGGCCTTATTGAAAGTCCATGGTAACACTAGCCCTTCCGGAAATGTTCCGGTGCCCCCGGGGAAGTGGCCAATTCTCAACAAGAACGAAACCCATCGTGCGACATATCAAACTTCATGATTTTACAAATCTTGGCCAGTAATGGCCTTATTGAAAGTCCATGGTCACACTAGCCCTTCCGGAAATGTTCCGGTGCCCCCGGGGAAGTGGCCAATTCTCAACAAGAACGAAACCCATCGTGCGACATATCAAACTTCATGATTTTACAAATCTTGGCCAGTAATGGCCTTATTGAAAGTCCATGGTAACACTAGCCCTTCCGGAAATGTTCCGGTGCCCCCGGGGAAGTGGCCAATTCTCAACAAGAACGAAACCCATCGTGCGACATATCAAACTTCATGATTTTACAAATCTTCGCCAGTAATGGTCTTATTGAGAGTCCATGGTCACACTAGCCCTTCCAGACATGTTCCGGTGCCCCCGGAGAAGTGGCCAATTCTCAACAAGAACCACAAACCCATCGTGCGACATATCAAAATTCATGATTTTCCAAACTTTGGCTGGTAATGGCCTTAATGTGACTCGACGGTCACACTAGCCCTCTCGGGCATGTTCCTGTGCCCCCAGGCAAACTTCAAACTTCATGATTCTGCACGGCTAATAATGGTCTTAGACAGTCCACAGTCCCATTTAATTGTCCCCCCCCCCCGGGTAGATATTCAACTCCCAATAAGAACCAGAACCCCTCGTGTGACATATCAAACTTCATTATTTTACGAAAATCCGTCGGTAATGACCATATTAAGAGTTCAAATTATTTCATTTTCCAACTCTAGCATGGTGCTCCAAGAAATTTAGTATAAGTATTCGCAGAATTGGTCATGTTTGTAGTCTAGTAAAACATTAATATGCGTATTTCAGGGTGTAAGAAGAGTTTATGAATAAATTAATTCATTCGAGTATGTATTAAGGGTTTTCTTCAATTTTTTTTAAATAGTTCAAGAATAAGGATTTGGGTACGTTTTTAATTACATTTGTGTAGCTTTAATTACATTTATTACAGAAAATTAATTTTTAATTACATTAATTACGTAATCAAATTGAACTACATGTTTTAATTACAGTAATTACACTGGCACTGCTTTGATTACGCGAAATTAATTTTAATTACATGACATACTTAATTTTCATTTTTAATTACTTAATTACATAGTTAAACACCTTGTACTTTAAATCCAACGCAGTCAAAAAGGCTATTGCGTGCCCCTCGGGTTGTCCATAGCTGCACTCGATCGCCAAAGTTGGCAAAGGCAATGTTTGCGTAGTCGGAGAAGTGTTGGACGATTTCGGGGTTCAACCAACCACCTTGATCATGCAGGCCTTGGGGTAGATCCATGTGAAGTAACGTTATCATGGGGGTGATTCCATTGGAGAGAAGTTCATCGATTAGCTTGTTGTAGTAATCGATCCCCTTTTTGTTCACTTGATGAGCCGAACCCGAAGGGAGGATTCTGCTCCAAGCGATCGAAAATCGATACAAGTCCAGTCGAAGTTCCTTCACCATCTGGACATCGCTGCGCCATTGATGGTAGCTGTCACAGGCGATGTCTCCGGTGCTGCCATCACTGATGAATGCGGGGAGTTCAGTGTGAACCAATCGGTCCCAAACGGATTCGCCTTTACCATCGGCATTCCAGCCACCTTCGATCTGGTAGGCTGATGTACCGATGCCGAACTTGAAGTAGGCTGGGAATTCTTCGGCGTGAATGTTGATGGCGGTAGTGGTGAAAGTGAGTGATAGAACGCTAGACGAAATTTTTGATGATTTTAACTTTGAACGGTGGAGTTTTATAATGATTGCATTGTCAAGACTTACGTGATGAGAAACATTTATTTCCAAGTGCAGAACAGTAGTAAGAAAACTGTATTCCGTCAGCGTTAACCTCCTTCTAGATAATGCCGAACAATGGACCCGTTTCAAGTGCCATTCAGCTTGATAAGCGATTATTTCAAATAAAAGTGGGTGGGAGGTGTACAGGGTGGCTCTTGAACAATAGACCTACATGCGAAGACATTGTAGTTGCATCATCTGTACATGGTAGTAGCTAGAGCGGGAACCATGTTCCCTGGCCGGGTACAGTATGTGAAGCTGAGTCAATAACCGCAATCTCTGTGAGGCTCATATTTATGTTCTCGTCTGCTGTGAATCAGATCTGAAAGCAGTTATTTAAGTGTAGTGATTTGGCATCGATCTGCCAGATTCCATAACTGGTATCGGAGTAGTAGTAGTAGTAGTAGTAGTAGTAGTAGTAGTAGTAGTAGTAGTAGTAGTAGTAGTAGTAGTAGTAGTAGTAGTAGTAGTAGTAGTAGTAGTAGTAGTAGTAGTAGTAGTAGTAGTAGTAGTAGTAGTAGTAGTAGTAGTAGTAGTAGTAGTAGTAGTAGTAGTAGTAGTAGTAGTAGTAGAAGTAGTAAAATTATATTTATTTCTGTTGATTATGGTAGAACATTGATTTTTCATATTAATTGATTAGCCTACCTGGCTCTTTATCTTTGTTTAATTTGATATTCTAATTTAACATTTGCGTTTTTCAACTAGTTTACAGAATACCCCTTTGGGGATGTGTTTTATTTGAATTGAAAAAAGTGATAACCTACCTAACTACGAGTATAACATAACGAACATAACCTAACATGCTAGATCACGTATGATCTGATGATTTGATCTCAGACAGGTGTCTCTGAACCTTTCCAGGATGAATACTCTCCGTTCTTCTAATGTTTGAATTCCAGCCAGGAAGTGGATCTCAGAATGTCTAGTCCGCGGGGGGCTGTTTAGGACCATCCTAAGGATCTTGTTCTGGATCCTTTGGAGTTTAAGGTGATGGCATTTTGCGCAACTCTCCCAGATTGGCATACCGTACTCGATTACAGGAAGGATGATTTGTTTATAGACAACAAGCTTATTTTTCAGGGACAGGGTTGACTTCCTGTTGATAAGTGGATACAACGATCTTATCAAGATGTTGCACTTGGTTTTTGTTTTGTCAACGTGCTCCCTGAAAAGAAGCTTGCTGTCTAGTGTTAGCCCGAGGTACACGACCTCTTTGGACCATTCCACCACTGTGCCGTTCAGGCAGATCCTGTTACCGACGAATCCAGTTACGGAAGCGTGGACGAAAAGTGATCAAAAGTGCCATGCCACGATCGTTTTGTATGTGGAGGACAACCAATTAAATTTGGTGAAAGACGCGAAAAGTGCCAAGGAAGTGTGGAATCAGTTGAAATGTTACCACGAGAAAACGACCATGACCTCGCGTGTGCCTTGTTAAAGAAAATTTGTAGTTTAAATTTGGCGGAAGGTGCAGATGCTGAAAAGCATTTGTTTGACCTTGAAGAGTTGTTTGACCGCCTAGCGTGTGCGGGTCAAGCACTAGAAGATTCGTTGAAAATTGCTATGTTGCTTAGAAGCTTGCCGGAGTCGTATAGTGGTCTAGTGACGGCACTTGAAAGCCGACCTGAGAAGGATTTGACAATGGCACTCGTGAAGCAAAAGGTACTAGATGAATACCAACGGCGGTCGGAACGCTTTGCGGATTCTAGTGAAAAGGTCATGAAACTTCAATCGAAGGGGCAGCAGAAGCAAAAAGTATGTTTTTACTGCCAGAAACCTGGCCACTTCAGAAGAGATTGTCGTGCTTTGCAGCAGAAGAAAAATGAATACGAATATAGAAGTGGAAAGGCAGACAAAGTGAAAGTGAAGAAAGATGACGTGAAGGCAAAACAGGCTGCTGAAAAGAACAATCCTATATGTTTTACGATCGGTAGCGGCCGTCGGAAGGACTGTTGGTACATTGATAGCGGCTGTTCGTGCCATATGACAAACAATCGTGCTTTCTTTACGGAACTGGACGAAAGCAAGTGTATTGAAGTGGTGTTAGCAGACGGTTCCGTGTCAAAGTCCCATGGAATGGGTGAAGGCCTAGTGAAATGTGTAAATGGAGATGGAAACGTTGTGGAAGTGAAGCTCACGGAAGTACTTTACATACCAGTTTTGGACAGTGGATTGATATCCGTGCGAAAACTGACCCAAAAGGGATTTTCGGTGAATTTCGTGGGATCTAGCTGTTCGATAGTGAGTGAAGCTGGTGCGAAGTTGGCGTTCGGCGAAATTTATGGCAGCTTATTTGTGCTGAAGACAGTGGAGTTCGCGAAGCTGAGTAAGGAGGTCCATCATCAGAAGAACTGCCAACATATTTGGCATAGGCGGTTCGGTCACAGGGATCCGGCGGTACTTGATTGCCTGAAAACGGGCGGCTATGGAGAAGGATTCATGTTGCAGGACTGTGGATTGAGACAGGTTTGCGAACACTGTTTAGAAGGTAAGCTTCCTCGTTGCCCATTCCCCAATATTTCTAATAGCAGAGCAAGCCGAATCCTTGACCTGGTCCATACTGATGTCTGTGGACCAATGTCGAATGTCACTCCAGGAGGATGTCGGTACCTGATGACGTTGATCGATGACTTCAGCCGTTACACCGTGGTTTGCCTGTTACAACAGAAGTCGGATGTGGCTAGTTGCATTAAGCGGTATGTAGCCCACGTCAAAACTCGGTTCGAGCGGATTCCTTGCGTCATCAGATCAGATGGAGGAGGCGAATACGTGAACAACGAGCTTCGAACGTTCTACGAGAAAGAGGGCATACAGGCACAGTATACCGCAGCATATTCCCCGCAGCAGAATGGCGTTGCGGAGCGCAAGAACCGCACGCTGCAGGAGATGGCAACGTGCATGCTACTCGACGCTAATCTTCCGAAAAAGTATTGGGGTGAAGCGATAATGACCGCCGCTTACATACAGAATCGGCTTCCTTCGCGTGCCGTCAACAACACACCGTACGAGAGATGGTTTAGGAAACTACCTGTACTAAGCCATTTCCGCATATTCGGTAGTCCTGCGTACGTCCATATCCCAGACGTCAAAAGGACTAAATTTGACTCCAAGGCACGACAGCTAATTTTCGTTGGCTATTGCGAAGACCGAAAAGCATATCGGTTCTTGGATCCTGAGACAGATAGAATCACAATAAGCCGTGATGCTCAATTCATCGAGCAGCGAAATGGTTCCCGAGGATTAGAACCGGAAGAAGGCGAATCAACGGTGAGCTATGGGGACTTTAGATGGACGGATGTAGCAATCAACGGAAGTTCATCTCAGGAGGAGTCAACTGGGCACGAGGAGCTACCTCAGCAACAACCTAGCGAACACGAGGAGCAACAAGAATCTGCTAAGGCGGAACATCGCGATGAATCTGAAGACGAGTTCTATGGCTGGGAGGATGAAGAATTAGTGGATGAAGCTAGTGATAGGATGCAGCGTCGTGAAAAGCGGTCAACCAGAGGTATACGTCCGCAGCGGCTCAAGGATTACATCGTCGATGTGGCGATGGTCATCGAAGGAGACCCGTCGTCCTATGAAGAAGCGGTTAAAGGTTCGGAAAGCGATTTGTGGCAAGCAGCCATGCAAGAAGAGTATGATTCCCTGGCGCAAAATGAAACGTGGACTCTAGTTGAATTACCGGCCGGGCGTAGGGCTATAGGCAGCAAATGGGTGTTCAAGAAGAAGGAAGATAGCACTGGGAACATCAGCAAGTTCAAAGCCCGACTAGTCGCACAGGGTTTCTCTCAGCAATTTGGTGTTGACTACGATGCCGTATTTGCTCCAGTCGCCACTCAAACCACACTGAAAACCCTGCTGACAGTTGCTGGCAAGAAACAGATGAAAGTTCGCCATCTTGACGTCAAAAGTGTATATTTGCATGGCCAACTGAAGGAGGAGCTGTACAATGTACAGTGTACATGCAGCAACCCAAAGGATTCGTGCGCAGTGGTGAAGAAAAACTGGTTTGCCGACTTCAAAGGAGCTTGTACGGATTGAAGCAAGGTGCAAAGGTGTGGAACGAAACAATTTGTGCCATTCTTGGAGAAATCGGATTTAAGCAATCACGGGCTGATCCTTGCCTGTTCACTAAATGTGTTTCCGGAAAGCTGATTTACCTGTTGATCTACGTCGATGATATAATCGTTGCGAGTGAAATTGAGGAGGAGATCGATCATGTCGAGCGTGACCTGAAGAAGAAAGTGAAATTGTCGTCGCTTGGAGAGATCAGCTACTTTCTGGGAATTCGTGTGAGCCGAGATGATGAAGGGTTCTTTGCGCTGGACCAGCAAAGTTATATTTCGAAAATTGCCTGTCGGTTTGGGTTGGATCGTGCGAAAGGATCAAAAATTCCGTTAGATGTGGGGTATTACCGAAGCCGTGAAGGAAGCAAAGCATTACCCGACAATAAACACTACCATTGCTTGATTGGAGCGTTGCTTTACGTGGCCGTCAACACTCGCCCAGATGTGTCGGCCAGCGTGTCGATTCTTAGTCGAAGAATAAGCGAACCGACTGAAGTGGATTGGTTGGAATTAAAGAGGGTGGTCCGATACCTCGTGAAAACGATCGACTATAAGCTCAAGCTGTCATGCAACATCGATGAACCCTTCAAGCTAGTTGGATACAGTGACGCTGACTGGAGTAGTGACACAGCAGACCGTAAATCCAATACCGGTTATGTGTTCCAACTCGGCAGTGCAACTATTTGCTGGGCAAGCCGCAAGCAAACTAGCGTGTCATTGTCCAGCATGGAAGCCGAATACATCGCCTTATCTGAGGCCTGCAAAGAACTACTGTGGCTTCGAAAACTGCTCGAAGATTTCGGGATGAAGCAGGATGATCCTACCGTTGTGTTCGAGGACAACATCAGCTGCATCGAATTTGTATCGATAGACCGTACATCAAGGCGCTCAAAGCATATCGATACGCGGATGTTCTTCGCCAAAGATTTGTCGGAGAAAGGTTTGGTGGCCATTCGTTATTGCCCATCCGAATCTATGGTCGCTGAT